CCCCGAATTCTACAGTTTTCACTCCCGGTTCCCTTCATGCTACATTCAGTCTTCACTCCCGCTTCCCCACATGCCAAAGTCTTCACTCTCGCTTCTCTGCAAGCTACAGTCTTCACTTCCGCTTCACCGCATGATATAGTCTTCACTTCGCTTCAAAAGCATGCTACACTCTTACTCCAGCTTCCCTCATCTACATACAGTCACACCCGCTTCCCGCATGCACTCTTCACTACGGCTCCCCGAAGCTACAGTGTCACTACGGCTTCCCGAATGCTACAGTCTTCACTCCCCTTCCCGCATGCTACAAAAGTCTTCACTCCCGCTTCCTGAATGCACATACGTCTTCACTCCGCTTCACGCATGCTACAGCCCTTTACTAACGGCTTTCCCGAATGCTACAGTCTTCACTCCGCTTCCCTGGGATGTACAACACTTCACTCCCGCTTCCCTGCATGCTACAAATTCTTCACTCCCGCTTCCCTGCATGCTACAGTCTTCACTCCCGCTTCCTTGCATGCTACAGTCTTCACTCCCGCTTTCCCGCAAGCTACATACAGTCTTCACTTCCGCTTCCCCGCATACTACATACAGTCTTCACTCCCGCTTCCCTGCACGCTACAGTCTTCACTCCCGCTTCCCTGCATGCTACAGTCTTCACTCCCGTTTCCCCGCATGCTACAGTCTTCACTCCCGCTTTCCTGCATGCTACAGTCTTCACTCCCGTTTCCCCGCATGCTACAGTCTTCACTCCCACTTTCTCGCATGCTACAGTCCTCAATCCCGCTTCCCTGCATGCTACATACAGTCTTCACTCCCGCTTCTCTGGATGCTGCATACAGTCTTCACTCCCGCTTCCCCGCATGTTAGAGTCTTCACTCCCGCTTCCCTGAATGCTACAGTCTTCACTTCCGCTTCCCTGGATCCTAGAGTCTTCACTCCAGCTTCCCTGCATGCTACAGTCTTCACTCCCGCTTCCCATGCTACATCAGTGTTTACTCCCGCTTCCCCGCATGCTACAGTCTTCACTCCGTTTCCCTGCATGCTACAGTCTTAACTCCCGCTTCCCTGAATGCTACAGTCTTCACTTCCGCTTCTCTGGATGCTAGAGTCTTCACTCCATCTTCCCTGCATGCTACAGTCTTTACTCCCGCTTCCTTGCATGCTACATACAGTGTTCACTCCCGCTTCCCCGCATGCTACAGTCTTCACTCCGTTTCCCTGCATGCTACAGTCTTCACTTCCGCTTCCCTGCATGCTACATTCGATCTTCACTCCGGCTTCCCTGCATGCTACATACAGTCTTCAATCCCGCTTCCCTGCATGCTACAGTCTTCACTCCCGCTTCCATGCATGCTACATACAGTCTTCACTTCCGCTTCACCGCATGCTACAGTCTTCACTACGGCTTCCCCGAATGCTACAGTCTTCACTCCCGCTTCCCTGCATGCTCCATACAGTCTTCACTCCCGCTTCCCTGCATGCTACATAAATTCTTCACTCCCGCTTCCCTGCATGCTTCATACAGACTTCACTCCCGCTTTCCCGCAAGCTACATACAGTCTTCACTTCCGCTTCCCCGCATACTACATACAGTCTTCACTCCCGCTTCCCTGCATGCTACAGTCTTCACTCCCGCTTCCCTGCATGCTACAGTATTCACTCCCGTTTCCCCGCATGCTACAGTCTTCGCTCCCGCTTTCCTGCATGCTACATACAGTCTTCACTCCCGCTTCCCCGCATTCTACAGTCTTCACTCCCACTTCCTCGCATGCTACAGTCCTCAATCCCGCTTCCCTGCATGCTACATACAGTCTTCACTCCCGCTTCTCTGGATGCTGCATACAGTCTTCACTCCCGCTTCCCCGCATGTTAGAGTCTTCACTCCAGCTTCCCTGCATGCTACAGTCTTCACTCCCGCTTCCCTACATGCTACATACAGTGTTCACTCCCGCTTCCCCGCATGCTACAGTCTTCACTCCGTTTCCCTGCATGCTACAGTCTTCACTCCCGCTTCCCTGAATGCTACAGTCTTCACTTCCGCTTCCCTGGATGCTAGAGTCTTCACTCCATCTTCCCTGCATGCTACAGTCTTCCCTCCCGCTTCCCCGCATGCTTCATACAGTCTTCCCTCCCGCTTCCCCGCATGCTACATACAGTCTTCCCTCCCGCTTCCCCGCATGCTCACGTCTTCCACTCCCGCCCTTTGCATTCCTCAGTTTTCACTCCCCCGTTTTCCCCGCATGCTACACAGTCTTCCCTCCGCTTCCCCGCTTTCTTCATACAGTCTTCCCTCCCGCTTCCCCCCCATTACATTCAGTCTTCACTCCGCTTCCCCGCATGCTTCATACAGTCTTCCCTCCCGCTTCCCCGCATGCTACATTCAGTCTTCACTCTCGCTTCCCCGCATGCTTCATACAGTCTTCACCTCCCGCTTCCCCGCATGCTACATTCAGTCTTACCCCGCTTCCCGCATGCTACATTCGTCTTCACTCCCGCCTTCCCGCATGCTACATACAGTCTTCCCCTCCCGCTTCCCCGCATGCTACTCAGTCTTCACTCCCGCTTCCCCGCATGCTATATCAGTCTTCACTCCCGCTTCCCCGCATGCTACATTCAGTCTTCCCCTTCCGCTTCCCCGCATGCTAATTCAGTCTTCACTCCCCCTTCCCCGCATGCTATTCAGTCTTACTCCGGGTTCCCCGCATGGTACATTCAGTCTTCACTCTCGCTTCCCCGCATGCTACTTTCAGTCTTCACTCCCGCTTCCCCGCATGCTACATTCAGTCTTCACTCTCGCTTCCCCGCATGCTACATTCAGTCTTCACTCTCGCTTCCCCGCATGCTACATTCAGTCTTCACTCTCGCTTCCCCGCATGGTACATTCAGTCTTCACTCTCGCTTCCCCGCATGCTACATTCAGTCTTCACTCTCGCTTCCCCGCATGCTACATACAGTGTTCACTCCCGCTTCCCCGCATGCTACATTCAGTCTTCACTCCCGCTTCTCTGCATGCTACAGTCTTCACTCCCGCTTCCCTGCATGCTACATACAGTCTTCACTCCCGCTTCTCTGCTCGGGTTTTAACTGGTTGTCTTCCCGGTGAGGTCGCTGTTATAAGACATGCGAAGTAGTTACACGAATTTTATTATGGTAAATGTCGTGTGTTACCTGGAGTTTACCTGTGTTGTCATACTCAAGAAATAAAGTGAAATAAACCCTTCGACTGGTACAGAAAAAGTGATGGTATTGACATACTTTGTAAAAAGCCTCTGAATTAGCCTTCAAATTTATAACTACTTATAGCTACTAGTGGAAATTTTGCAACAATAATTTCTTGTAAGTTTTAGTCACTGAGAGTGACTATATTATTGCAGAAGTTATTAATGTTGATAAAATTCAAATGGTGTTACTAAATTTCAGAAATACTACACAGGACATGTAATTAACTGAAGTCTGTAGTAATGTACAGCATCTCAGTTGTAACTAAGCTTATATTATACTTACAACGAACTTGGTTAACTAATAATATAAATCACGTTATGAAAAATATTTATTAAGTTTAGCAGAGTGAGCGGTATTAGTTACCTTTTTAAATTACAATTCAAATATGAGGAGCCACTACATGCTTAATGGTATATGGGAGGTGAAGGAAGACTGGAAGAACTCTAACAAAACTGGATAAAAACAACAAGGTTTAAGTTTTATTTTCGTTTAGTATACTGGTGTTGAGATCACGTTAAGATAATGAGGTTCTTTTTATCAATATCTCTGAATCAGTTGGCAGATAAAGAAGCTTTGGAATCTTCAGGCTGGAGGTTCCAAATATTAGGGTCTTTTATGAGCATTGAGTTTTTACGGAAGTTAAGTCTGACACGGGATATATACGACATTTTTGTCATGACTTATGCCTATAAGTTCTGCTGCAGCTACATGTATTAAGGAAGAATATTAGAGCAGGGTTTATAATTGATTGTCCTATGTATATAGTGCGGACAGTAGTATGAGGGAATATTGTTTACTAGGTAAGTTTAAACTCCTGATAAGTGGGAGAGTGTATTGTCTGGCATAAGACTGGACAGTCATTCGTACAGCCACTTTTTGTTGAGTTATTATTGGTTTTAGGTGATTTGTTGTAGTAGATCCACAGGTACAAATATCATAGGTGAGGTAATGGTCGATTAGAAAATAGGACAAAGTAAGTATTGCTGTTTGAGGTACACAGTACACACTAATATTGTGTGTTGTCATTATATTTTATTAACCACTAATATTGTATGCCATTATCTTTCATTAACCACTAATCTTTCTATTTTTAATCCACTAAGATTATGTTTTATTCTTTTATGTTTAACCCACTAAGATTACACATTAGTATTCATTCTCTAACCCACCAGTATCGTGTGTATTTCATCCATTTTTAACCCTCTTAATAGCAGGTAATCTTCTTCCTTTCTTAATCTATTAATCTTTCCAAACCTACAAAACTAGCAGGTTATCTTATTCTTATCATTCTATGATATCAATTTTCATCCATTAATTAACCCACTTGGATAGAAGCAATCTTCTTATTAGCTTATAAAGACAGCAGGTTATCTTCACTTTCTTTATCCTAGAATATAGCAAGCTAGAATTCTCTTTCTTATCCTACCAGGACAGTAAGTTATCTTTCCCCTTTCATTCTAAATATATTAATATAGCAAGTTTATCTGAATTTGATAACCTACTTAGAATGCAAATGAATTTCTCCTTGTTAACGATTAAGACAGCAAGATAATCTCATTTATTTAATTCACTAAGACCGAAAACCTCTTAAAGCTTGTTTTCATATCCCCACGTCCCCCTAAAATAACAATTTAACTTCATTAGCTAACTTAAAACCGTATGTTATCCTGATAAGTTTTCATCCTAATAAATATCTCCTAAGATAACAAGTTATGATAACACACAATTCGTATATTTTTAACATGTTAAGAAAGCAATTTATAATGGGTAATTTTCAGAGCTGTCAGAGAAGGACCCGAGCATCCACGGGTCCAAAACTTACTATTGTGTGGGAGACACTGCCAGACTTAACTGTACTTCATCCAGGAGTAAACCTGCAGCACAGCTTACCTGGTTCATCAATGATGAGAAGGTAAGGACAGAAAGAGTGAGACAGATTTAGATTTAGTATATTCCTATGGTGTAGAAATATACCTAGTTGGATGAATCTTATTGTGGCTAGCTGGTCCAGTGGCTAACGCGACGGTCTGGAGTTTTGAAACTTTCTGATCGCGGGTTCTACCCCGTCCGTGGTATGGTTCATTTAGATCTGTGTGTATTTACTTCTAAACATTTAGAAAGATTATTAGTGACAGTATCTGGTTCATTTCTTAACATTCTAATACCGAGTACAGTATTAATCTCAATAATTTTATCACTGATACTAGAAATACCAAGCTCCTTCCTCATATTAAGAACCTTTGTAGATTTGGGACAGCCAAGAATAATTCTGAGAGCTTCATTTTGCATTAACTCCAAGGGTCGGAGAGAACTTTCTCTAGCTAATATCGACATGGGAGCAGCATAATCAATTAAGGACCTAATATAGTCTATGTACATCATTCTCACATTAGCACCATAGTTGCGGGTGTAGCCAGCAACAGCTTTGAGAGCATTTAGCCTAGCTTTGCTATTACAAACCCAGGAGTCCCAAAGGCCTGCTATCTTGGGGGTAAAGGGAACAAATTAAACACAGCAGAAAAACATTTGACTTGTATTATCCTTCACCAAGTAAGAACAGAATTATGTACACTAAATGTACTATGTACAACATTAGGCATTAGTGCACTCAACGGTAAACAAGGCAGAATAGAAGCCACTAGAGAGCAGACCGTGCTTCAACCAGCTCTAGAATGGGAATGACAAGAGCAGACGGGTGTGTGGTACCCACACCTCTGCAATTGCCAAAACCATCTTCTCATTGGCTGGAACCTGGTTACTGATTGAACGATGGGGCCCTATCATTAACCCTTAGTACCTGGTTTGCTGGTTGGGCGAGATAGCCTTTCAGTGAGGGTGTGTACATGCGCCGAATAAAGGTTATGTACTCTTTGCATGCCACACCCCCACCCCGAGAGGGCTTAGGATTAGGTCCCAACCTTCCATTGGTAACCGTGCCACCATGGCACCATATAATGGGACTGCATTTCCTCTCAACCGTCCAACTCTTAGATAGAGCTCAGCTTTATTCGTGACAAAAAGCTGCACCCTAATCTTAGAGCAAGACAGCAGACAGTCGGGCTAACGTAGGTTCAAAGTGCGGGAGGACAGTATCCCACACTCCCTCACCAAAAAAAAAAAACCCACACAAGGGGACAAAAAAAAGAGCTTGAAAGCGGTTACCATAGGTCTCTAACACATCCTAACCTAATAAATTCTCGATAACGCATCTGCCAACTTATTTTCTTTGCCGGCGTGTAATATTCTGAGAGAATAGGGCTGCCGTCGTAGACTCCATCTCATGAGCCTCGTATTGTGGTTCTTCATGGCTTGGAGATATACTAGAGCATTGTGGTCACTATAGACAGTGACCACCTGCGAATTCTGGCCCACGTAAACATCGAAGTGCTCCGAAGCCAGTACCAGCACGAGGGCTTCTTTTTCAATAGTAGAGTAAGCCCTCTGGTGCAGCTAGAACTTGAGTGAGAAGAAGGCTACAGGCTGCAACTCCTCGTCCCCGTTTTGCAACACTACTGCCCCAACCCCAGACTCACAAGCATCAACCTGTAATGAGAAAGGTTTGGAGAAGTCTGGAGACAAAAGAATGGGTGCAGTACACAATAATCTTTTTGGTTTCGTAAAAGCATTTTGACATTCTGGGGTCCAATTAAAGGGAACTTTGTGACTGGTAAGAGAGGTAAGAGGCGTTACAATATCTGAAAAATTTTTACAGAATTGTCTGTAAAATCCTATCATGCCTAGGAAACGTTGAAGAGATTTCCTATCATGTGGAACTGGATAATCTATAAAGGCAAGAACTTTGGCAAATTTAGGAGCAACTTTGCCACTACCTACTTCATGGCCTAGAAAAGTAACAGTGGCCTGGCCAAAGGAAGACTTAGATAAATTAACAGTTAAATGGGAACTCTGAAAGGTCTCAAATAGAGCCTTAAGTCTAAATAGGTGATGATCCCAAGTATCAGACACCACTATGATGTCATCTAAATAGGCTGCCGTGCCTTCAAGTCCTTTAATAGCCTGATGGATAAGTTTCTGGAATAAAGAGGGGGAGTTTTTCATTCTGAAGAGGGTAACTGTATATTGATAATGACCTCCTGGAATTACGAAGGCAGAGATTTCCTTCGCCTCATCTGTCAAAGGTACCTGATAGTAACCTTTAAGGAGATCTAACTTGGACACACAAGTAGCCTTACCCACAAAGTCGATTACGTCATCCAGACGAGGAAGAGGGTAAGCATCTGTAATTGTGACCTAGTTCACTACATTATACTGCATATGTGTTTATATTTCCATTGTGTCGGTATTTTATACCATTTATTTCCAAGCGAGAGCCTTGCCTACCAGATCACGAGCCACCTTATGACCACGATGGGCTCAGCTCATTCCTCTGATTAAAATGAAATGATTTTGTCCGGAATGAATGTTTATGGGCTAATGCATTATATGAAATGGATAGAATGTTTAATGTCTTTAAGCTGTGTAGGTACAAATTTTGTTGGATTCTGGGCAGTAACTGGAAATACATCTTCTGGTCAGCTTTAAATATAAGAACATAAGAACGTAAGAAAGGAGGAACACTGCAGCAGGCCTCCTGGCCCATACTAGGCAGGTCCTTTACAATCCATCCCACTAATAAAACACTTGCCCAACCCAATTTTCAATGCCACCCAAAAAATAAGCTCCGATAACTCCATCCACTACTGCGGGTTCTCTATTGGAGAGATATCCTCAAGACCTTATTTATATCCCCTTTATTAATGCCCATCTTCCACTTATACACTTCCATCATGTTTCCCCTCATTCTTCGTCTAACAAGTGAATGTAATTTATGTGTTTTCCTCATTGGAAAAAATCTCTTATTGATTGGAATTGCTTGACTGGGAATTTAGAATCATACAACTGGGACAACTTCTGTGGTCGAAATGACATGTATGCCAGGCATAGGGTTCACTTATCCAGGGCAGGTGTAGGTTTTCTTGCTAGCTCAGTTGAGGGGGTTGTTAGGACTTTAAACTAGGATTAGTTAGAGGTATGGGTTTAGAAATGATAAATAATGAGTATGGATATATTGACTTATGCTCTGATATTAAGAATCTTAATAGTAACTGTCTTGGAGTATGTAAAGTAAAAGGACACAAGTGCAACTAATGAGACATTTATTGTGGCAACGTTTCGCTCCTGGAGAGCGAAACGTTGCCACAATAAATGTCTCATTAGTTGCACTTGTGTCCTTTTACTTTACATGTCTTGGAGTAACTCTGGGTAATGATAATTTCAGAAATTGTGTAAAAACAAAGATGAATAGGAAAAATATGCAGAAGAAAAACATATGATGGTATTTTATGCTAACAGTCGAAGTGCAAGAAATAAAATTAATGAACTACGTTTGGTAGCATGTGCTGGGAACTTTCATATCATTGCATTAACTGAAACGTGGTATGATTTAAAGAGTCGGGATATGATTGCCGAGTGTAATATTCAAGGGTTTAAGTTGTTCCATGTGGATAGATGCAATGGGAAGGGGGGAGGAGTTGCATTGTATGTTCGAGAAAATATAAATTGTTGCATAAAAACAGGTATAAAAATAGATGGAACAGTAACAGAATCTGTTTGGGTAGAGTTTGTAGAGGGTCAAGAAAAACTAATTCTTGGTGTAATACCGACCTCCAGGCTTGGATCACGAGAGAGGGAGACTTCTTTGGGACGAAATTGTTAGGGCTTCTAGATACAATAACATAGTCATAGTAGGGGACTTTAACTTTAGTCAAATTGACTGGAATTCATTGACAGGTAATCTAGAATCCAGTGACTTTATGGAAACAGTTCAGGACTGTTTTCTGAAGCAGTGCATAACAGAGCCTACCAGGGGTAATAATTTGCTAGACCTAGTCTTGTCAATTAAGGAAACACTCGTAAATAATCTGGACATCACTGAAGAGCTTGGCGCAAGTGATCACAAATCCATCACTTTTAGCATTAATTGGGAATGCAAGAATAATGATAATACAGTAAAAATCCCTGATTTCCGTTCTGCCGATTATAATGGACTTAGGGAACATCTGTCTAATCTTGATTGGGGTTATCTAGCTAATGATTTTATTGACGATGATCATACTTATGATTATGCAGGGACCTGCTTTTATGATTTTTTCTTAATAATGTACACCGTGCCCAGAGTATATACATAAGAACATAAGAAAGGAGGAACACTGCAGGAGGCCTGCTGGCCCATACTAGGCAGGTCCTTTACAATTCATCCCACTAACAAAACATTTACCCAACCCAATTTTCAATGCTACCCAATAAATAAGCTCTGATGTGCAAGTCCCACTCAAATCCAACCCCTCCCACTCATGTACTTATCCAACCTAAATTTGAAACTACCCAAAGTCTTAGCCTCAATAACCCAACTAGGTATCTGTTCCACTCATCAACTACCCGATTTCCAAACCAATACTTTCCTGTGTCCTAAATCTAAACTTATCTAATTTAAATCCATTACTGCGGGTTCTCTCTTGGAGAGACATCCTCAAGACCTTATTAATATCCCCTTTAATAATACCTATCTTCCACTTATACACTTCGATCATGTCTTCCCTCATTCTTCGTCTAACAAGTGAATGTAACTTAAGAGTCTTCAATCTTTCATCATAAGGAAGATTTCTAATGCTATGTATTAATTTAGTCATCCTACGCTGAATGTTTTCTAACGAATTTATGTCCATTCTGTAATATGGAGACCAGAACTGAGCTGCATAATCTAGGTGAGGCCTTACTAATGATGTATAAAGTTGCAGTATGACCTCTGGACTTCTGTTGCTTACACTTCTTGATATAAATCCCAATAATCTATTTGCCTTATTACGTACGCTTAGGCATTGCTGTCTTGGTTTAAGGTTGCTGCTCACCATA